GGTTTAGTTAAAGAAGTAAGAAATTGTGATATTGAAAGGGCGATACGAAGATATATGGTAGGTGAATACCATAGGATAGGAGAGATTTCACAACTGTTTAGCAGACAATTAGTCAAAGGATCGACTTCACTGGTCTATTTGATGAGTTGTAGTGTGGTGCTAACAATGGCAAGTCTCACTGACGATACGGGCAAAACGTCAGGGAATGTGCCAAGTCCACGGTCCTACTGGAAGTTATCATGCATACTATGGACTTCGGACAAAATGTGTTCCTCTAGGTTTTCCTATCAATATGAACAAGTTGCGAAAACAAAATCAAACTTATATACAACGAAAGGAGACCGTGATCATACTTAATGCCACATCAGCTTGGTCTTCACAACTTAGATCAAAATTAAATTTAGCTAAGGCATTTTTGGCTACCCATCGTTATAGATCTGATAAAAGACAATATAATTCTCTTTGAAAAAAGAGGATAAGATGCAAGCATATAAATTTACCCTTTCCACAACTTTTAGGTATATAAATTATAAAGAAACTGAACGCAGATGCTCGAGAAATAAGCGAAAAATATGTAAACAAAAAACTACCAAGATTCAAATTCAATATGGAAAGTAGTGATAACTTGCAATATGAGTGTGCTGAGTGGTCAGAGTATATATATCTAGCAGAGATATCTCTATCGAAAGATAATAATAGAATTTGTAGCAAGTTTAACCGGATGTAGAGTGAAGCACATTAGAAAATTATATCGGATTTCATGTAAGAGATAGTAAAATAGACAAATAACGAAGGTGAGTTAAAAGAGGGAAAGTATAGAAAGAAAATTAGCAAATAATGAAGTAAAATATTCAAAAATTTCATGCTTTAAGAATTATTTTACATGAGTGTGATACATTTCTAATATTATTCCTAATAGGCATTAAAGACCTTTCGCCCACATAAACATTATATATATATATATATATACAAACAGGAGAGATCACTATTTGATTACCTTCGACGCCGTTGCTGGCCGACTCGCCTCTAGTAAAAATGGTGGAATCGTGCTTTGTCTGGCTTGAATCAAGACAGCTAGTGAAGAGATCGACATCGCCAGGTCCCAAACTGTTCTGTGTAAGCAAACGACCAGGAACAGGATTCGGCAGCCAGAATTCTTAAGAGAACGCAATTTAAGGTAGATGGCAAATATATAATAACTGAAAAAGCTGGTATAAAAGGCTAAATCTATAACTAGTGAAAGTTGTGGGGCTGTGAGATTTCTGATTTACTACTATTATATGATAAAAAAGAATAGGAAATATACTAAAACTTGAGGCTTCAGAATCGACTTACACACTAAAAAGCTACTAATAATCACAAAATAAGTCCAACTAGGAAGGATTAGCTCGTAGCAAAAGCATACTGATCTAAGATCTGGAAAACCAGAAAATAAATTTACTTTTTAAATTAACATAAATGCACTGGATACAGAATGAGTGTTGTGAAACTATGAATAGATCTTGAATAAAAACTTAGGTTACTTAAAATGACCTTAAAGGCAAATTATACCTCTCTAAATTCATAATTAACGATGGAATTGTTGCCACTTCCCACTACGATTGATGACTTTATTATATACATAGTCTATTTTGAAAATATGATTAGATATATATTATGAATTTAAGCGCAAGACACATAATATGTATCATCGATTTGAATAACATATAAATTGCCCATCAACAACAATGCCACTACAAAATATGAATTAGAAGACATAACTTACGCCAAAAGTAAAATTAGACCTGCTAATCACTGGCACCCGTGGATTTATGGCGAAATACTTTGAGGTATTCTACTAAATTCGCTGTGAAAAATTCAACTATCAGCTCTACATCACCTAAGGAACTAAGGATATTAAAGTTATCAATATAAATTCACTAAGTTCAAACGAAATGAGTATTATTTATTATCCTACTATCGATAAAAAATGCCGACAATGGCTGAAAATCAGTGGTGGTGTATATTCGTTTTGCAGACGCACTCCCAAAAGACAATTTCATTATAGCTCACATCATAAAGGATCACTAAATGACGTTTAGACAACGAAAAATAGTGAGAGAGTAGCTTGTGTCTTGGCTCCAAGGCATTGCAGGTAATTTCAAATTCGTGAATATTGTTGAAGAGTAACTGGGTTTCGATGAATCTCCTGAGGTAATATTATTGCTGGAACTTACATTTCGTATGAAAGTGTATGATGATGTCCATCATATGATGGAGAAAAGCTCAGTCCGTTCTGACCCGAAAAGAGGAAGGTCTCATGGACTGCGTCGATCTCAACGGCTGCAGTACAACGGGATTCAACCGTCCTCTCCTGGTGAAATCGATCTTCGAATCTCTTTTTCATACACTTTGATAGGAAATGCAAGTCCTAGCAAGAATAATTTTGCATAAAAAGGGAGTCGTCTTCACGAACCCTTCCTGCCATGATAAAATATTTTACAAAAATGAAACATACGAATTTTATCCATTATAAATATTCCCTGTGAGTGATGAATAGAATAAAGCAAAGCTGTAAATTCATACTTGTGTGAATGACTTAACGTAGTAAAAACTGAGAGAGAAGCCATAAAGTGCCCACCTGACATCTTTAAAGGCTCGATAGGTAGGTCAGTAAAGTCATCCATTTCTGTTTCGCGACGCGACAGGGAAAACTAAAAAGAGTAAAAGTAAAATAAAAACAACAAAAAAGAAGGGAGCCTCTTTTTTAACTACAAACGGGGTAATACTTCCAAAAAGCTGGCTTATGAATAAGCCAATAAAATACCTCAGAGTTCAACACTACATCCAATGGTTCAAGGGAAGTACTTTAGGCGGAAACAAAATAGATACGGTAAGAAAAGCTAGTATGAGCAAGCGAGACGATTTATTATGTGACTGCGTTGAGAAAATTGCAAAAGAACTGTGTAGAAAATTACGATACTGTGGTGGCCATCGCGATTCAAACAGACAAGGAAGTAAACTAATTTTTGTATACATCAAAGCATTCTTCAATTGAACACTCCTGAATCTTATATCTTATATTTCGTATTTAAGTAAAGTTTCAAGACTACCAGTAAATCAGTAATATGAGATGTATTTACCCGTTTTCGTTTAAGGTAAGGAAGGACTGGTAGTAAAATTTTCCCACAATGCTATGAGCAGAGCAGACCTTTCCATTGAATTTCACATAGCCTTGCTATCGCAAAAGCTGTTCTCATTCAGGATGGACTGCAATTTCGACCTCGCATCGGTTTTATCGACACCTCCAGCGGAAGTCGAACCGTGAAAGTGCAGAATGGAAACTTGACACGTTAACCACTCGTGGCAATGTGGCAGAGTGGTTAACGTG